GCCGCCCAAGCCACGCTAAGTAGCCGCCCAAGCCTCGCTAATTAGCCGCCCAAGCCACGCTAAGTAGCCGCCCAAGCCACGCTAAGTAGCCGCCCTAACCCCGCAGCAGTCCGCTAGCTTGGCCTTGAGCAGAGCCACGGCCCCAGGGCCGCCATGTTGCTCCGGCCCTCAGGAGGAAGCCGGGCGCCATATTGGCTGCAGCTGCACGTGCTCCGAAGCTCAACTTCAAACACCTGGAACTAATGTTAAACTTCTCTACTAATAAAGGCGTTAGCTAGAAAAACAACTATTCCATGCAGTTTTTATTAAAACTGGCCATTTTTGTAGCTAGCAAAGACAAAAGAAACTAGAGAAATTATTTTAAGACCATCCAAAGTGATGGCGGTGGACTTCAAAGACTTTAACTCAGCTTTTAAAAAAAAAAAAAAAAAAACTTTCAATAAAGTGCAATGATAAAAAAAAATACATATTTTAAACTACAATATTTCAGTAGAGATTTGTTGGGAGAAAGTGCCGCAGCAGCGGTAAAGTTCTTACCGCTTCTTGGAGCCTCTCCTGCAGGTCGCTGCTCCTCCTCCTGTCTGTCTCTCTGCGGCAGCGCGCGCTCACCACCTGCGGTAAAGGGCGGCAGGGTTGCCAGGTTTGAAGCTGTCCCTCTTTCCTGAAACATGTTGAAAACAAAGCGATACAAACCCTTCAGATGACCGTAGCGCAGCTTTTAATTCTCTGATGTCACATCTGAGCTTATTTCCACCACGTTTATAGAAGGATTATAGAAGATATTTATTTTGATATCAATATTTTGACATTATGCTGAGGCAATGGCTAAAAATGCACATGTACTATACAGAAAAAAATAAAAAACACTGATTTTTAAATCTTAAGACAAAATGAAGTTATTTACTTTATGAACAATATTTTAATAAAGTAAAGAGCGGAGGGGAGGGGAGGTCTATCTGGGTCTGCCTGCTGGGGGCGGGTTGCCTTCACAGCTCTGGGAGGAAACTGTTCCTGAGTCTGCTTGTTTTGGATCTGATGGTTGAATGGTTTTACTGACGGGAGGGGAACCAGTGCGGTGACCGGGATGGCTGGGATCTATAGATGTTAGATGTTAACCTGCTAGATATTAACCTGGTAGATTTTATCCTGGTAGATTTTTACGTGGTAGATGTTAGACTTTAACCTGGTAGATGTTAGATTTTAACCTGGTA